GACTTCCAGATGTCTGGGTTGATCAGGCTTTTCCAGACGTCTCAGTTACACAATGTTTTATTGTTAATCTTGTGGAATTAGAGAGGACTCTTTAAAGTAGAGACATTACATACAGTACTGATATACACCTGAACATCAGCAGGAGAGGACTCTTTAAAGTAGAGACACTACATACTGATATACACCTGAACATCAGCAGGAGAGGACTCTTTAAAGTAGAGACACTACATACTGATATACACCTGAACATCAGCAGGAGAGGACTCTTTAAAGTAGAGACACTACATACTGAGTATACACCTGAACATCAGCAGGAGAGGACTCTTTAAAGTAGAGACACTACATACTGATATACACCTGAACATCAGCAGGAGAGGACTCTTTAAAGTAGAGACACTACATACTGATATACACCTGAACATCAGCAGGAGAGGACTCTTTAAAGTAGAGACACTACATACTGATATACACCTGAACATCAGCAGGAGAGGACTCTTTAAAGTAGAGACACTACATACTGATATACACCTGAACATCAGCAGGAGAGGACTCTTTAAAGAGAGCTAACATTATACATCCACAGCTTCACATTGTCCCTTTCTGTTCTGAAGTGACTCACCATAGTGTAATATCGTCAGCAGGGCACATTCTCAACCTGTAAGTTTCTCTTACTGTTCAGCCTGTTCCCTTTATGTTCTCTATCACAGTACATATTCGTTCTCACAGCATCATTATCGCCACATGCACTTCCATCAAGCAGCGGGACGTCTGCATTCGGGAAGGGAGACAAAGTGCAGCTGACTTTTAATAGAACTTCCTGTCATGGCTTTTTTGTTACCGTAGACATGGCACCAGGTGGAGAGACATGGTGCTTTTTATACTGTGTCATTTGGTAGCTGAGATAACGTCATGTAAGTGAAGTCCAGCGGATCCCTGTGGTGTTTCTACCTCAACTGTACAGTGTGTTCTTTAATGTAGGATGGGTAGTTTTGAGATGGGAGACACGACTGCTAGCTGGATTTAAAAGATGATTTGGCTGTGTCGGGATCAGAAATGCTTGCAGGTGGAGGTAGTTAGGAAGGAGAAAATGTAAGATTTGTTGAAAAAGTTCTGACAGCGACAGAAGGGAAAGTTTAATTTGGTCTTTCGTGTGCTAGACTTGAAGACCCGATTTTAAATTAAACCCCGATTGGATTTTTTTCCATCAGCATTTAAATGATTTTACGTCAACAAGCGAGCCATCAAATGGGACTCTGCTCCGTGATTGAAAATCTTCTGTGAATACTTTGTGGTTTCAAATGGGAAGAATTTCATTTTTCCCCAGCTCTGTCTGTCACTACCACATCCTCTTTCCTCCTTTTGGAGCTTTGAATATTCTAAAATATTAGCATTTCTACCAGTAGGCACATCTATCTGGTAAGGAATACGAAACATATTTTCTTCCATTTGAGCGTCTACAATTGCTTTCCCTTGAAAAAACGTTGGTGAAATCTTAAAAAACGTTCAATTACTTTAACGTTAAGCACAGAAATAGCTTGATTTGACAAATGTATTTTATTTTTTATTTCATGTACTTTTAGGTTCACTTGGTCACCAGGAATTTAACTAAAATATTGAAGACACATCCATAGAAGTGGTAAATAAAATGTGACTGTGTTATTTATCAAAGCAAAGTCACTAAATTGTCCCTTCCTGGCTCCCTTACAGTCAAATAGCGGTTATCGTACAGAAAGATTTAAATGTATTCATCTCGTTTCATTCTTAATTTAACGATAGTGGATCTTAGCATAGAGTTGTGGCGCTTTAAAACAATGAATTGGGAAGAATTGAATTTTCCATCTGAAATACAACAGTTTGAAATGAATTGAATGTAATTTACAGTAAACGACGACTGAAGAGATGTCGGCCTAACGATATCACAGAGGCAGCAATACAAGAGATTTCCATTTCTTTCTATTGATTTGGCTCATTGCTCCTTCTGGTCCTATGGGGGTTTTGTACCTCCAGCTTTGTTGGGTTTGTCAGCTTAGAATAAATCACCTTGTCCTGTAATGGCTCTCCCTCAGGACCTAACATTGCCCCTAAAGAGACTTAAGTCGTGGTGAAGGTGCAGGAAAGTTGCTGTGCTTTGGCCTTGCAACGACAACCCATTATTCATTGTAAAAAAAAAGCTCCCTGTCAAAATTCCAGAAAATAAAGCCAGTTGAAATCTTCGGTAGGTTCTCGAGCTGTTAGAAATCATTATCAGGGTGTCCGCGGGGTCTTAAAAAGTATTAAAAGTTGATAAATCAATTTTAGCAAAAATGAAGGCTATTAAAAAGTATTAAACGGCATTTTCCAAGGTGTTACATTTTGTTGCTTGTTTTCAATAAGTATATAAATTGTCCAAAGAGGAGGTCAGTTTACGCCGGTTGTTAAACAACATCGTTATGGGGAAATGCAAGTCTGCGTCCAAATGGTTGGAAGATAAGGAGGAAGGACAATCAATACTGTATATAGTCAATGTGAGGTAAAGTGTGTCGCCAAGGTAACCGGTTAAAACTCAAAGTGGAGATGAGGTCTTAAAAGGTTTTACATTTGACTTCAGGACTCCTGCATATACCCTGATAATAGCAAAGGCAAGTTTATTTATATATCACCTTTCAACGCAAGGCAATTCAAAGTGCTTTAAAGAAATGAAAAGCATTAAGAAAAAGCGCCGCGGAAACACATTATAAAATGTAGAATAAAACGGGTATAAGAGTCATGAATGAAAGTTACAGTGCAGTGTGGGATGTGAATAGTTCAATTAAAAGCAGCGGCAAAAAGAAAAGTCTTCAGTCTGGATTTAAAAGTAGTCAGAGTTGCAGGTTGGTCGTAGTTTGTTCCAGATATTTGGGGCATAATAACTGAACTTCTCCATGTTTTAGTTCTGACTGGAGACAGAAAGCAGACCAGAAGACCTGAGAATTCTGGATGGTTCATAATTTAGCAGGAGATCAGAAATGTATTTTGGCTTTTGCATTTTTTATATATTCGAACGTTTCTCGGGATAAAATATAAATTCTCTGCCCTGTTTTAAAAATATTAGACATCACATGACCAGGATAATCAGAAACAGAAACCCATAGAAATGTATTTGGGCCCAGCATCAGTATTTTAGGAATCAGTTATTTGACAGACAGGAAACTAGTGCTTCTCCCACGGGTGTTTTTTGAGTGACAGTGAGCCATTATTTCAACTACACCTGTAGACTTTTTGTGAGGCACTGAAGCGTGCAGTTGGTAAACAAGCGATTGCAACGTCTGACCTGTGTCTTCCTACACAACACATACCAAAACTCTGTGGGAATTTAAACGAGCCGTGCTGCTCAAGACGTTTTTCCACCACAGGGAGTCCATTGTTTGTTACAGCCTGTTCCCACACAGACAAACAGTGGCATTCAAATAGAAAATGTGTTAGTAAACTTATTTACAAATTCAGCTGCAATTTACCTACATTAGTCAAAGTCAACTTTATCATCAATTTCTGTGTGTGTTGTATCAACATGGAGACGGATATTACGTTTTCTCACCGTCCAAAATAATAAAAATATATAGAAATATGTGTATACATTAGGGATGGGAACAATTAATCCAATATTCAAAATTATTCTGGTATGAGAATGAGTTTGTTTTGTTTTTTTGGATGGGGGCTTAAGTTGATTACATATTATCAAATGGAATAATTTAATGTATACGACAGTGCCATAGCTAAGTGTCTCAGGTCTAAAGGTGTGTTTTGCTCCGCTCACCGGTCCCTCACAGCGGGCAGAGCTGCAGGTGCTGACCTCTCTCTCTCTCGCGTCCGGTTATACTTCACTCGCGTTTATGTCCAAATCCATCAGATCTAGCTAGTTCTAGCTAATGCTATGGCTGCTGCCCCTCCCTACACGCAGATCACGCAGACTCAAGCCTCATCTTTATGCCCAAATTCCAGCTGAGAGGGTCTTCTCTACAGCTGGCCTGATTGTGAATCGCCTCCGCCTCTCCCCTGAGTAGACATGCTCATATTCTTACACTAGAAAGAGTATTGAATAGCTGCATTCTGTGCATAGGCCCTGCTATAGGTTGTTGATCTCTGTTGTCACGG